ATAATTATATAACAATTTATATGGACTGATGAACTGGTGCATATCTAATTTGAATTATATTGGGTTTGATCCGAATCTGATTTGAATCTGATCAGATTTGATCCAAATCCGATTTGAATCTGATAATTTTGTAAATTTAAAATTCAATTTGATCCGAATCCGATCGGATTAAAAATTTTGAAATTTGATCTGATCTGATTTATATCCGATTCACGGATCAAATTTTGAAATTTGATCTGATCTGATTTATATCCGATTCACGGATCAATCGAATTCAGATCAAAATTGTGAACACTACCTGTGGGTCAATAGCACAGTGGTAGTGCTCCTAGATCTCAATCACAAGGTTTGAAGTTCAATACCACTTAAGGATCAAAAATCGAAATTATTCTTCTGATCAGGTTTACTGAATTTCTTGTGAAAGTCATACCCAATTATCTGAAACCAGTTCGAAACAGGTTAGGTTGCATAAAGATGGGACTTCTAGCTTTCCGTTGATCAGGAGTTGAAACTTAAGGTTGTACTACTAAAAGGATTGCACAAAGTAAGACTTCTGATCTAACCTCCCATATAAAGCCTCCAACCCACCTTGCCCTGGTAGCCTCCAGAACCCCCACTCTTCTAGCTCAGAATATCCCAATCTGATGCTCCGTTTAATTGAAAATCAGTTAATAGAGACTGATCTGATATCACAGGTGATGACAAAGAAGGTAACATGCCACCTTCTGAGATCTAAGTAAATAATATCTGAGAATATTGGAGGGTGTGTACATTCCATCGGGTATATCTAACAGGTCTAGCTTAGTAAATCTCAATACAAAAATAGTCATATGAGTTCCATACTAACTAGCCTAAGCATCACCATTTATGACTGTGTATTAATCATCTGGCCACTAGCTAGATGTGCCCACTCTTGAAGTGGTAGTAGGTCTAGCTAGGATTGTCACGATAGGTTAGCATTAATCTGCTTATGTAGATATGTTTGATGTAATGACAGTGAAATTAAATTGCCAAATAAAGTCTCACAACTAATACCAGTTGTGGTTTAAAATTAAAAAAAAAATAAAATAAATAAATATTTTAAAGGTTTATATAATAAAGACAATCCATTTTACCCTGACTACAAATTAAATAAATGAATATATCATATTGAGATAAGTTGTTACTAAAATCTTAATTGCGCAATAGGGCAATTATCGATTACATATACGATTTTTTCTTTGTTGATCATTTTACGTATGATGGTTGATAATTGCTAGTTTTTTAATAAACCTTTTCTTCCTTTTTTTTTCATTTATATTTACTGTCGACAAATCTTCTATAACATATACAGTATACAGTATGTACATGAAAAGCGGGCAAATTGGTCATTATATTTTTTATAAATATAACCTTATAATATATAATAATTCACATGATCCCGTAAATCATAAGATTCTACCCGGCTTGAGAAATATTTTATTATTAATATGTTATATCTTCTTTATACAGTACATCCCTGTATCAGAGATTCAACTTCAAGTATATATTTATTACATAATATGACACATAATTTACGCTTTAATATATAATCTATGAAGGATTTGGGATTTCTGCATCCCTTTCTTTCTTCTCTAGTTGCTTAGCATATGAATTTACGACTATTCCAAAATAGACCTAATTAAGAGAAAAAGTAATTAGTAAGGAAAATTCCTTTAAGAGAAATTATGAGGTGATATAAAGCTACAAACCGATATGAGGATAGAAACAACGGATGCAACGACCACAACTATTACTGTATATTTGTACAAATTATTACAGTTGGAAGTTGGATTTGGAGGATAGGCACTGCAATTGTTTAAAAACTCATTCTTAGAACCAAGGGTGATGCCAATCCCAGAAATTGCTATGACAATATTCGCCAATATAATGGCATATACTATCTTTAGGTATATTCTTGCAAGTTTTGCGACATTCTAAAAATTGAGAGAATTTAATGTAAGTGTTTATATAATTAAGAAAGGATAAATAAATTACATACAGCAAAAGATGCAACAAACAAGCCAAATGCCGCCCCCAATGCTATCATTGCTTCGATAACAGCTAAAAATACATAATAACCACGAACATCGGGGATGTACACTAAAAATAGGTTGAGAAGTTAGCGGAGATTATGAATGGAATCAGGAAAAATTATGACGAGCTTACAAGAATGATCATTATTCACATATTTTCTATAAATGAGAATGTCGTTGATAACCCCATATATTCCGGAAGCCTTAATCAAAAGTTTGGTTTATTATTGGGAAATTAAAACTCTTTTTTATAAGGTCGATAAGATAGACATACTTACCAACCAAAGTATTGATATAATGATGACTCCAGCTCTCAGACCGATACAAAAGCAACAAAATAACATTTTTTATTCTTAATTTTATTTTTACGTTGACAGAGAATTCGAAACCCTTTATATGATTTTTTATGGTTGGAACAAAAATCGCACCAACCTAAATGTGTGACGGAGTTATCGGAGTTAAATATTTTTGTATGCCACGTTATTATTCGTCAATTAAAACTTGGATTTATGTATTTTTCATTAAGGATATTTTTGGAATCGTAAATTTAATTTACTTTATAAGTTAAAATCGGAATTCTAAATGGAAATCTCCGGATTAAAAATTTGATTGTCATAAAAAGAAATCGAGTAAATTAGGAGGCGTCCTGTGCAAAATGCGTACTGTTGCATTGTTTGCACTGTATACTTAGGTAAATTTTCGGAATAAATCTGGTATAAATATAGTAATATTTTAATGACTCTTGAAGACTAATGCGGAGTTTTAAATTTAGCAAAATAAATAATCAATATAATGGATCGTGTAACAAATAAGTCAAACCATTGTTTATATAAATATAATATAATAAACTAAATTTGAATATATTTAATTATTTTATACATTTAATTTGATTTAATGATTTAATATAAAATTTTTAATTATTATTTTATTAGTTAAGAATAAATAAACAAAATCCATTAATATTAAATAAAATTTTTTATTTTGTTAATATATTTAGATAATTTAAATAAAATTTTAATACTTAAAGGTTTAAATTTTTTATTATCATTATATTTTATATAGTTTGAAAACAAAAAATATTAAAAATAAATATATATAGTTTGTGACAAAATTATTTGTTTTTTATTTTTTATTATAATTTAATAAATAATTATTTAACTAAAATAAAAATTTAAATATATATAATTTTAATCTAATTTAAAAAATATTTATGTTTTAAAATAATTAATTAATAATTTTATTTCAAAAAAAATTATTTTAAGTTCAAAAAAATAATTAAAAAAATTAAATATAAAAGTAATTAAAATAAAGTTTTTATTACAGTAAATTTTTTTAAAAAAAATTAATTAAAAATTCTCAAAATTTTTTTGATATATAAAAAAATTATTAAAGGTTTTTAATAATATAATAATATTTTTAATATAATTTATTTAATTTTTATTTTGTAAAATTAATTTTAAAAATTTTTTTAAAAAGTTTAAGAATAATAATTTAATATTATATTAATATTTTTTTTTATTAAACATAAATAAATTATATGGATAAATTTATAAAAAATTTATTTTATTTTTTAAATTATAATCTAAAATAATTTTAGCAATTGGTTTTAAATTTTTTCTTAAGTAATTTTAATATTTACTGCATATTCTTAAAAAAATAAAGAAATACAGTATATACAGTATATATTTATTTATTAAATTTTATTAAATAGTAAGTAAAAATAGAAATAAAAAATGAGAGCAAAAAATTTTGTCCCGAACTATATATATATACTGTACTGTATATACTGTATTTTTTAATATTAAAAAAAAACGTCATGCTTACACAAAAAGGTTCTTAATTTTGAGAATACTCAATCGGGGAATTCCATTATTATGTGTGAAAAATAATGGAGGTTTTGTCAAGAAGTCTTTTCTAGAAACACATATGGTCATACGCCCTATTGAAACCCTTTTCATTATGCGAAGCTTTTCGTTTATGAATATTCGTTCGAATTATATTCTAATCTTACATCTCTTTAGCTATTTAATATTCTGTACAAATCCTCCGTGATATAAGGACTTCGGAATCCTTGAAAAATAGTGTTACATATTCGCTTCTGCTAATGCCTTCTCAACAGAAATAGTGTACTGAAAAACAATCATTCCTCCCTTAATTACATAATCGACACGGCTAAGCCTTTCCTCCCCTACAGGGCTGAATGTAGGATCACCGCAACGCATTGCCTCTACAATGAAGATCCGTATTCTGACAAACGAATTTAATAGAGTGGATAACTAAACCACTTCTATTGCCTTCGCTTTATGAGGACCTTGCAAATTTTATGTAAGTAAGTATGAGAAACTTCACTTTGCCGTGAGTTATAATCCTCGTTTACTCCGATCCTTTTTGGCAAGAAATTTAATAAATAAATATTTGTCTTGGCAAAGAATCTCCATGGTAAACCCAATATGTGACAAAGTTCAAAATGCAGATGAAGTGCATCTGAACCATCAAATTCCGGTGGTGTGAGCTTTTCTCGTACTAGTATTGTAGATTATTCTTTAATGCTTTTCATTGTCCTTGAATGCGAAATATATAGTTTTATAATTTAATGACTTAATAATAGGAATAATGAGCTAATTTTCTTTTTCATACTTGTAGTTTCTGCAATTATTCTCCGAAAAGTTCAAACCATTTTCTTCCGTTATTATTTGCCGGTTTGTTGAGTGTGTTAATTTTTACTTTTGAGTGTACAGTATATCCGATTTATTTTTAATCAACAAATAACAAAGTTAGGTTCTTGTACAAGGGTTACCAATGATGGCTGCCAGGTACAGTACTCTCAAGGATTAGCAATAAAAATGTACTTTTTTTAAGACTTTTTATTTTTCGCAAAAATCCTTATTTATTATCAAGTCATTTATCTAAAAGTCAAAGTAGTAATACTATTATATGGCAATCCAAGAATTTACTATATATTTTATTTTTCTGTATCTTCAAATATGAAAAAAGAGCCAAATAGTTGAAAGATGAGTTAAAGTATTTAGGTATATTGGAATAGATGAATAATATAGTATTCAAAGAAAAAATAATAGTATCAAAATCCATCTAAAAGATATTGATCAACATATTGATTGTTATAATGCTATATTAGAAAAGAAGGAAGGAAGTAGTTTTTATATCCTGTATTTGCTCATATTTAAATAAAAATAACTTATAATGATCCTAGATTTTTTTTTTTTTTTTAACCCACAATCATGTCGAAATGGCTTGTCTTTGTTAAAATATTTAAAAAAATATCAAAATAATTTACAGACCTTTTCATATAATGACTAACTTGTCTTTGTATATTATTAATTAAAGGATTATACTACTTAAAAATATATGGTATTCATTAAGCTAGTTTAGATTAAACTAAACCAAATCTCAACTAAATACTCTAAGTTAGATTTAGGAAACATATTATACTCTTATAGTAGCTTGACACTGTGCCTTTAAGTCAATTTTTTTTTTTTTTTTTTTAAAGTCATAACTGATAGAGTTTATTAGAGTTAAGATTGGACAGTACATATGATTACATGAGCAATTCATATAACTAATTTTAGTGCTATCTAACCTTCATATCTTATAAATCCAAATTAATTTTACCTGCAAGGTACCATTATGTCAGTTTGCCCTGCTCTGCCTAGGCAGTAATGTTCACAGAGATCCATTACAGACTTGTATTATTCTATTATTATGGGGCTGGAGTTGTTATCATTGTAGGGTATTGAGATTTCTTTTTGTGTTTCAGTATGAATATCGTATCGTATTTAGACTGCTAAAGTTACCAATTATTATCCAAACCTATGATTTAATGTGAGATTCCAGTAATTGAATGATACACCATGTTCAATTTTCATCTTCCATTTAACTATTTTTAACTACTCTTCAAATATGGTCTTTCAAGGGTTTCTCTTGATTACTTCGTAATGGATTGCTCTTCCCATTGGATTGGTTACCTTGGTAATTGTTTCTGAATTTCTTCTCCCAGGGTCTACCCCTGTATTTTCCCATTGTGAGTCTTGATTCAACATCACTCAACTTTGGTTAGGTAGGTCGTCCTTTTGTAATAGCCGTTGATAATCGATAATGTATGTTTCCCAGTATATGTTTGGCCCATTACTTTTTTGACTGGTGCAAGTGACCGAAGTCTCCCAGATCTTCCACAAGTGAGTTTTTTGAGAAGAGGTGAATATTAACATTTAGATCATCAGAATGGATCAATCGATTTCTTTCTTCAGTCTTCATATATTCTGATTGGCTTGATGTTATTGTTATAGTTAGGTGCCAAAACTGGCCGTAACCTGTATGACCTGATTTTTGTGACACCGTGATCAGGCGGTGGATTCTGATAGATCGTTGTATGCAAGACTACATATGATTTTGAGCATGTATCTTGTACAATATGACTTATATTGTAAGAACCATTCATGAGTAGAATTGAACCAGTATCTCACAGATAGTGACCTGGGAGTGCACCCACTGCACTATTGACCCACAGATCTCTTTTAAGTCAATCAAAATCATTGTCAATAGTTTGTTATCATTGATTATTCTAAAAAAATGATAAATTGTTAAAGTTGATACTAAAAAAGAAAAAGACAAAAAACAACTTAAAGCCCTTTAAAAGATTCTTGTTCCATTTCACAATCTCTTCTTAAAAGAGATCTTGCCTGATTGAAATATTCTTCTTTTTTTATTTGAACTTCAGAAGAAATCTTTTTTGTTATTATCTATGATATTAGATAAATTATTATTTAAGTGTGCACTGAATTAGAATAATTTAAGAGAAACTAAAAATGGATTCTAAATTTTTATAGATATTAAAAAAATGTATTTAGATATATGTGATAATTGATAAAAACTTGTTTATATTTTTTATTGATATATTTTTATTAATTAGGTACTGTATAAAAAATTTTATATTATTTAAATTTTAGGATCAAATTGAGATAAACAAAAATTTTTAAAAAGATTATAAAAAAGTATTATTAAAGTTCACAATATAATAAAAGAGAAATATATAATATATATAAGATAATAAGTTTCTTATAATTTACTAACTTTATATTGTTTTTTAATAATTAAAAGAATAATAGTATATTAGTTTTACTTTTTTTTTGATTTTTTACTATTAATAACAAAAATATTGATTGTTTTATTTAATCATAAAAAAATTTTTTTTATTATAAAAAGATATAAATAAAGAGAAAAATTATATAATAACTTTTAAAATATTTTTTTCAAATTAATTTAATAAGAGTATTAAAACTTTATTAGTAAAAAATATAAAACTTCTTATAAATATTTTTTTATATATAAACAAGATATTAATAAAAATTTTTATAAACTAATATTTAATTTTAATCTTTAAATAAAAATTAAATAACTAGTTTTTGAATAATTAAAAACTATTATTTATTTAAGTTAAAATTTTCTTTTTATTATTTTAATTATATAAGATTTAAGATCAAAGTTTTTTTTTATTTTAATTAAACAAAAAACTATTAAATTATTATATTATATTAAGCTTTAATTTTTTAAATATGGTTAAGAATATATTTCTTTAAATATTATATAAAAATATTATAATAAACAAGAATTTTTATTTTTATAAATCTCAGATTTAATAAATATACTTAATAAATTAAGTAATTTTAAATATTTTAAAATTTAAAAAATATTAAAACTTTAGAATCTAAATAACTTAATATATATACTATTAAATAAATTTTTATTTATAAGAAAACTCTCTCCCACATAATCTGAAAAATCTCAAAATTACTATTTTAAAAAATTCTAAAAATTTCAGCTTCAAAGAAAAAATCAAAAAAACCTGGAAGTTTCTCTCCCAAGAAACCTAACTACCAGCATGAATATATTCTCCTTGATATTCTTATCACTAACATTTAAAAAAAAACTAGTAATAATTTACTACAAAAACACAAAAACAAACAAACTCTTTATCACCAACCCCTCCTTGTCTTATCTCCTTCCAAATCTTGAAAACTGTTCACTTATCTGGCTTACATCTATTAGAAGTTCAGAGAATAAACAAGCTGAGTTCAAAATAATAGCAGCCACCTTCAAAACAGTTCAAAGAAATAGACTTTCAAGCCTTCATACAAATATCAATATCTTTACTCTTTAACCCATGACATTAACTGCACTTAACATATTCCTGGACTTTCAACAAACCTTCAAACTTATAGATAAAAACCATAAATTAGTCATAAAAGAAGTTATAATAAAAAAACTGAGCTATAGCCTTCGCATCTCCTGAAGCAAACTTGACATCATAATGGACAAAATCTCTAACACTTTTTTCTTAAGACAAAAAACTCAAAACCTTATACCCCCTCCAAACACACCTGATTCAACTGAGAAAATGATTTGTGACAATTATATGCAGATAGATATAAACCAACCTATCCCATTTCAGCCCATATATAGTATACATATATCAGACAACCCACTTTTTTCAAAAGGAGCAATGATAAAGATATTGATCAAAAGAATTGAACCAATCACAAGTAATAACAAATGACACCATAACAAATCAATCAGCAAGGTCTTAAAGAAACTCTACAATTTCCTGGGTTGATTAAACTAGCAATGAATTAGATATTAGGTTTACTGACCCCCAGAAAAATCAAAAAGCACTTTTGGAAATCTGTCAAAAACTCAACACCTTCACACGTAAACCAAAAGCAATAGTCAATCTCTTTCTAACTATTAAACAAGAAGTTCCCATTAGAGCTCCCAAAAACTTAAAGACAATATTCATCAAAATTGAGCTTAGAGATAAGGCCTTCTTTCTCATATTTATATAGACAGAATTAATCAAAAGCAAACATCAGTTACAATACAAAGAAATTGAAAAACAATACCATAACAACTATTGCAACAAACATAATATTTCCTTCATTACAGAGCAATGAAATGCAAAATCAGAAACATTATCAACAAGACACTATTCATAGCCTACCTCAAAATCCATAATCTGATAGATCTAAAATATTGGCAGGTTGCAGCAATTCTTAAGTATGGATTCAACTACTTTATGGATCCAACATTACTCAAAGCCAATTATCATGATATTCTTAAACATTTTAAAGAAATGATTAAAATAAACTACCCAAAATCCTTGCCTCATCTGACCTCATTTCTGCAAACATAAAAATCAAACTACTTTATC